AAAAAAAAACATATTACTATTTTTATGCTAACAAATTATTGATTATGCTAATAAAATATTTATTATTTACAAACATATTCCATGGCATTCCATTATTTTATTTTATTTTTTTTTTTTTTATAGTGAACCTATTTTCAGCATTTCGTAGAGTATTTATTAGTTCTGCTCAGGTTGGCTGAAATCCGCATATAGAAACTCCTCAACGAGCTGAAAGTTTGGCTAGATTTTATTTCTTCTATTTTGGCTGCTTCTTCTCCTTTTCATTTTCTTTTTCTTTTCCTTTTTTTTTTTTTTTTTGCATATTTACGCCTTTGAGCCGCGCCCCGCAGCAAATGACTGCAACGTATTCGCATTCGCAGTCAGGACAGCGCCAGAGCCCGTGCTGGCGCTAGTCCACGGCGAAGTCCTGGCCGCAGTCGTATCTTTTGCATTTGCAGCAGGATTCGTACTTGTTGTCTGGTTATCAACACACGCTTCCGGAACTTAATGGCCTGAATCCTTTTGCAACTGCTGTCGTTGCCGTTGCCGTTGCCGTTGCCTTTGCTGCTGCTGCCTTGATTTGCCTTTTAGAGTTTTTGTTTGTCCAGGACACTTGTTAAGTGCATTGGCCTGTAATAATTTCGTGCCCAGTTCAGCGAGCCGCTGCCATAGCCTGCCGCCGTGTGGAGACCTCCGGCAAATCCTTTCAGTGCTCCCGGCCAGGATATTTTGCGAGTCGTTCACTTTTGGGCTATTTCATTATTTGCCTTCTGCTTGTCTGCTCTCGTTAGTATTTTGTCGTATATCTTACGGCTTGTGTAAATCATTTGCAACGCTGACTTTGAATTATGGAAGAAACGGGCTAATTTACGAGCATTCGCTGGCTTCGGCTGGAGGAAGAAGCAAATCTGAATTGAAATTGAAATTGAAATTGGAATCGTAGTTGGCTCTTGGATTTGGCTTTATGGCAAACAAATTTACTTGGCAATTCTCTCTCACCATCTTCCCCTCTCTCCATCTCTCTCTCTCTCTCTCTCTCTCTCTCTCTCTCTCTCTCTCTCTCTCTCTCTGTTTTCTGTGTTTACTTAACGCAATTTACACGCTTTGTTTTTAATGCGCTTTTGATGAAGCCATCATGTCACATTACATCAAATGTGACCGCTCGTCGCTCTATCGCTCCCCCTCTCCCTCGCCCCATCGCTCTGTGCGAGGGTGTTAATAAACACACGCACACACTCACTCTCCCAGATCTAACCAGCATAGCAAAATACAATAACAACACAATAAAAGTCAAGCAAATCTCCAGGCAGTCATCTCGTACCTTCGCCTCCTGCCGCCGCTCCTCATGCTCGCCTCGGCCATTTAGCAGCGCGTCTCACTGCAAAAATCTCATAAACACTTGCCTCCGGCTCGGCCCAAGCGCACAAATTGAAATCTGGTTAGACACAAGGGTGTTCCTCGAGGGTGTACGCACGGCGTTTATACGGCCGGCGGGGCGGAGATGCGACGCCAAACAGATTTAACTGGGCAAACAAACGAAACGCTTTTCGTTTTCGGCATTCATGAGCAGCTCATGCGTGCAAATCGGAGCGAGCAAGTGGAAAGCGGACAACGGGCTCGCACGAGCCAGGGGCAGCGCAAGGGCCACGAAATGGACAACAAGACCGAGCAGTCCCCAGCCATAAATGATTGGATATGGTGTGTAGTGGGAGTCACATCTATATAGATACATACATGCGCATGCACGTGTATGTGTATTCGTATGTTTACATACATTTAGTTTCAGTTGACATAACCTGTCAACGTTGGGCTCAAGAGAGCGAGAGATCTCATTCTCTCTCTCTTTCTCTCTCTTGATATCCCCCTCTCTCTTGATATTTCTCTACCCATCGCACACTATTCTCATTATCCTCTCGCCTTATGACTTTCTGAACTTCTATCTCGCTATCTTTTTCTCTCTCTCACTTTCTCTCTCTCGATCTATCACTTTATTTTGTCCCTCTTGGTCTCTCTCTCTCTCTCTTTCTCTTTATCTTATTTCTTTCTAGCTCCCTCTCTCTCACCTTCTTTTTCTAGAATCTATCCCCCGCTCACACTCTCTCTCACACAGTATTCTTCTATATCCTCTCTCCTTATGAATCTATGAATTTCTATTTTACTCTCTCTCTCTCTCTCTCTCCTCTCTCTCTGTCTATCTCTATCTATCTGTTTATTTTATCTCTCTGTTTCTGTCTGTCTCATTTTTTCGTTCTCTTTCCTTTTTTCTCTCCCTCTCTCCTGATCAATCATACATCTTATATACAAGTCCACTAGTCACTGGAAATCGACCTCTACTATATTATGCATATGCAAGTTCTTCTACCTTAACGAACCCTTTCTTTCTTTCCCTTTAGATCTAGAATATGATTTTACAGAAAAAAACTATTTCATATTGAGCTCTGATAAGCCAATGATAAACCGTATCAAATAAATCGCCCACCGTCACTGATCTGATTTAGCTGACAGGTAGATAGGGATATACATAGGAGTATGTATGTATCAAAATTCAGTTACTCATTGAAACACAATATATTGCAATATATTCAATCTCATAGCTGACAATGTCTTTATCTATATAATTAACAGTACAAATATCCACTTTGGAAGTCCTTAAGGATTCTTAAAAACAAACTCAAGTCAAGTCCTGGCACCGAGAAAAGCAAGAAACAGGAAATTTATTGGTCATTAGCTGATCTATGAATGGGCTGAAACGAGGCCGACTTGTTCAGATTTCAATGCGACTGAGAGAGAAAGAGACCAAACAAAGGGAAGAGGGAGAGAAGGAGAGAGAGAGAGAGAGAGAGTGAGTGAGATAGGGCAGAGCATAAAAAAGAGGGAGAATAAAGCCAATTCAGACACTTACTCATTGTCATTGCACTGAGAGTTGTTGGCAGCTCGACTGCTCGTTTCTGATTCTTTTTTTCTTTTTTTTTTCGAGCTGCTTATTGCTGGCTCAGCATCAATATCAACATCGACAACAACAACAACAACTACAGCAACAACAATGGCAATGTGTCATGCTTGTTGATTTGTAAGGATGCAACGCAACCGTTTTCAATTGTATTGACCGGAAAATCATAAAGCTCTTTGTGCCCGATATCGGTGCAGAGAGAGAGAGAGAGAGAGAGAGAGAGAGGAAGTCGCTTGGAAGCGAACGCGTCATGCCCCGCACCGAGCTCATCTTGGCCCTTGGTCATTTTGTTTCATCATCATCATCATCATCACAATCGGCTCGTCTCACACTGTGAGTGCGTCTCTCCTGATGCTCGAACCGGAAATGTTGCCCAGCGCATTCAATCTGTTGTTGCTCTTCCAATTTCTTCTATTACATGATTATAATCCTTAATTT